TCTTCCCAACCCCCAGCTCCAAATCCCTGATTGTCCAGCGCTTCGGGACGTCCTTGCGACATGAAAGCCGCTATACAAATGTAATTTGTTGTCGTTATTGATGTCGGTGCGATTTTTTTTCTCTGTTTCAGTCTCATTCCTCACCGATTATACAAGCGTTCTCTGTGAGCACAATGATTGTAGAAGAGAACCTGGATCATCACAAGACACGGGCACTGAATTACTGGGCGACTCTCCGCTCCTTCGTGCACAATTCACCGGAGAAGGTATAATGGGAGCCCAGGCTTTCTACACCATGGTCACAGCAAAAAAACAGGAGGAGGTCCACCATCACTGCTGGTGCTCGCTCGCCCATTGGAGCTCTCCGCTCTTATCCCATTCCCTGCCCTTTCCCCATCGTGTCTGTGCTGGTGTCTAACCCCAACCTATTCTCCAAACTCACCAAAGTTGGCATCCTATTTGATCCGCAGCTGTCCTTCCTACCTCATCTTAAGTCCCATTAGGGTAATTGGCAACTGTCTGCTGCATTTTGCCCAAAAAATGCACATTCAATTCACTTTACAGTGTATCCTGTGAATCACTTTGAGACGTCTCAACAACATGGTAAAGTGCTATATCAAATGCAAGGATTATTATCACTCTCTCAGTTTAGAATACATATCTGGTGCTCCCAATGCAAGGATTATTATTATTTATTATTATAAGAAATTGGCTTAACGTTGTGATGGGAGGACCATCTGAAAGGATGAGATCAGAGAGGCCACAAGGGGTCTCTGGTTGGTGATGTTGAATGTTGTGTTGAACGCTGGGTTGTTGTCCACAGATCAGGAGTTCAGAATGGACCTCGCAAGACTTGATGCACGGGATGGAGCATGTGCACCATGTGACCTTTGACTCTCCCGTCTACCACGTGTCCTTCAACCCCAACACCAAGGAGTTCGCCTGCGTCGACGCCATGAACTTCATCCACATCTACCTGAACGACGGCCGCCTGAAGGAGGCCTTCAAAATCCAGCAGGGGCTGAAGGGGCTAGGTTTACGCTTCCAAGGTTGACCAGTACGTGGCCTGGACTTCCTGCTCCTTCCTCATGGTCCTCAACGCCCGGTTCCAGATCCTCTCAGCCACGAAGTCCTCCCAGAGCATCAACTGCTGCCACTACAATGAGGAGCTGAACGAGATGGTGACCGCCAGCCTGGGTAACGTGTCCACCTGGAGGTTCTTCTTTGGCTTCCAGGAGCTGATCTGCCATAAGTTCATCCCTGGTAGCCTCGGCAGCTCGGATAACTTCACGCTGCTGGCCCTGGAGAGGCCCCTCATCCGCCTGCAGAGGTGCTTTGCTGTCAGTGGCACTGGGGTGTGTGTGTTCGACCTGCACAGCGGCACACTACTCAACTACAAAAGGAACCTGCACCCCAGGTAACCCTCCTCTCCCCTCCCCACCCTACTGCCTCCTCGCCACCCCAGCCCCCTTCTCTCCTCTTTGTCATTTCTCTCGTCGCCCTGGAGCTCCCACTCTCCCTACTCACTCCCATCCACCCCACTGCCTCCGACAACTGAGTGTGTCAGTATCAGTGTGTGTGTGTATGTGTCTGGGTCAGTGTGAGTGTGTCAGTGTCAGTGAGATCCCGCTCTGTTTTCAGGAGGATCACAGGGATTGCGTCTGCCTTCAGCTTGCAGTGTGTGGCCACCTGTTCTGGCGATGGCACCGTCAAAGTCTGGGACATGGACTGGAACCTGCACATGGTGTTTGTAGGACATGAGGGTGAGTGTGAGACACGAGGGTGAGTGTGAGACACGAGAACGAAAGCGGGTGCGACCCGACTACTGTGGATGAGACACAACACGGGTGAGTGTGAGATACGAGGAGGAGGGAGGGAGGGCAAGTGAGCGAGCAGCAAGCCATTGGCTGAGAGGCAAGCAGGAGTGCAAGAGAGTGGGTGACCAGGCAAGCGCAATGAGGATTCCCATAGCGTATTGGTCAGCGGGTTCGTCTCTCAAGCGATTCCCGGGCGGGGCGAAACCTTAGGCAAGTTTCCTTACTCCACACGCTTGACCTGCAGTAAGTAGGAACTCGGTTGATAGTCGATTGTCGGATCGCTTTCCGGGGGTAATAACCCCCCCAAAAAATTGATACGTAATGACACACCCATTCCACGACTGTTTGTGGGACGCCGCTGTGCGCAATTGCCTGCTGCGGTTCGCCCACAAAATATACAGTCCATTCACCTTACAGAATATTCTGCGAAGCTCTTTGAGACGACTCAACGACGTGATAAGGCACTATATCAAATGCAATGATTATTATTATTATTATTATTAATACGAGCGCATTGAGTGGTGGTGGGGGGGGGAGAGGGGGCAGAGAATGAAAAGGGACAGAGAAGCTTGCGGATGTGTGAAGAGCAGGGCGTGTGTGCCAGGGGGCATTGTTGACAGGAGTCCTCCACCCTTGGAAGAAGGACCTCCTGCCAGGGAAGAAGAACCAACGGTTGGTGGGAGGCAGACGCAATTAGTCAGTGAGCTTCAACTGTGGTGGCTACTGAAGCCATCTCTGTGCAAGGCTCTCAGGAAAGACTCGAACCTGATGAACCAGCTTACTCCAATCCCGCCAAAACAAAAAACAATAATAAATTGGTCATTTTCAATCCACGACTGTTTGTGGGACATTGCTGTGCGCAATTGGCTGCCGCGTTCGCCCACAAATATACAGTCAATTCAATTTACAGTGTGTTGTGAAGCGCTTTGGGACGTCCTCCCGACGTGAAAAGCGCTATATCAAATGCAAGGATTATTATTATTATTATTCTGTGAAGCGCTTTGAGATGTTGAGAAGACGTGAAAAGCGCTATATCAAATGCAAGGATTATTATTATTATTATCTCAAAGGCTTCACAGAATGCACTGTAAAGTGAATTGACTGTATATTTGTGGGAGAAACGTGGCAGCCAATTGCGCACAGCAGTGTCCCACAAACAGTCGTGGATTGAAGTGAGCGATTTTTTTATTATTATTATTATTATCGCTTCAGGGCCGGTCACCGCCATGGAGGTTCACCCCTACGGACCTTACCTGCTGACGGCCTCGGAGGATCTGACCATCCGCAACTGGAGCCTGGAGCTCCAGGACCAGGTGGACGTGACGGCCACACTGGAGACGGTGAGGTGCCTGGGCACCCAGAAAGGTCAGGACAGCATCTTCTCCTTCTCCCGGCACCGGTTGGACCTGTGGAAAATCCGTCACCTGTACCGGCTCCACACCAGCATCGGGCACCCCGTCCTGGCCATTAAGGTGGTCAATCTGCCGGGGAGCCACCCCTACCCCTTGCGGGCCCTGTGCGTGTGCGGGGACAGCACAGCCCGTCTCGTGGCCTCCGAGACAGGCGAGGTGCTCACCACCCTGCTTCTGGAGCCCGGACGGCAGGTGGTGGACGCCGAGTACTGTCTCCTGCGGGAGACGGTGCTGGTGCTCACGGCCGCGGGCGACGTGCTGAGGGCCAGCGCCCTCACCAACCCCATGGAGGTCCAGCTGGTGGTGCCAGGGCACACCCTGCCTGCCCGCCCGCTCTGCCTGTGTATCTACACCTTCACCGTGGACGAGGAGACAACCTACCAGAGCTGGGTGGAGGTGGTGACCGGCAAGGAGGACGACAAGAAGACAGGAGGCCTCGGGCAGAATAAGGACCGGTGAGGGGCACAAGGGTGAGGGGCAGGGGTGGGGCAATGGAGCAGGGTGAGGTGTGGGGTGAGGCTGAGGGCTTGGTGAGGGGAAGTTCAAAGCGCAGGGTGGCAGGGAGAGGCAAGGGTAAAGGGCGGGCGAGGGGAGAGCAGCATGGGAGGGGGGGAGCTAGGCTGAGGGGCAAGAGGAGGGGACAGGCGAGGGATGAGCGAGCTGAGGGCGGGGCTAGGGGTGAGGGTTGGGGTGATGGCGAGAGATGAGGCAAGAGAGAGGGGACAGGAAAATTACTTAGCCTCGCTCATTGTTTTGAAGGTTTCTCCCAATCATTGGTGATGAGGACGGCTTCCTGACGGTGCTGAACATGCTCTCGGGGGAGACCGAATACCGAATCCTCGCCCACAAGTCCGCCACCATCCATCGGCTCATGTCAAATCCGGACAACAGCAACCTCATCTCTATAGGTAGCCACACATTGTGCCCCACGCCAGAATTTCCCAGGTGCTAGTATTACATTTGCTCTTTCTCCGTCGTGTCGGAGCTGGTACTCACTCGAGTGGCGGAGCGATCACCTGCACAGACACCATGGGTAGAGAGCAGGGAATGTGGGTTAGCGTAGGGAGCTTCAGTGAGGGAGTGAGCACCAGCACAGACACCATGGATTGAAAGAGCAAGGAATGGGATTAGAGTAGAGAGCTCCAAAAAATCATAAGATTGGTTTGGATGAAGAATGTCCTTCGACCCATCCAATCTTATCCTTTCTGAAGGCCTACCCGACAGTCCCCCCATCACTACCTCAAGTTGCTTTTTAAATGAGCTGTGTTTCGCTCACAAAATATATAGTCAGTTCACTTTGCAGTATATTCTGTGAAGCGCTTTGAGACGTCTCGACTACATGACAAGGCGCTATATCAAATGCAAGGATTAGTATAGGATTATTACACCCAGTAACCCAGAGCGTGCTGTGGCTTGTGCCCTGCAGGCTCAGACAGCGCGGTGAAGATCTGGCGAGTTTTCCCCTATGCTTCCGAGTCACTTAGTCTGCAGATGACCTTCTACAACAGCCACATGCCTGTGCACCTCTGCACCATCCAGTCCCTGTTCGCCGTGGCCTTGCAGAGCGTGGCCAGCGTCACCTACACCGTCGTCCTGTACAACCTCAACAGCAAGACACGCTACGACCACAAGCCCACTGACGATCCCAAAGACAGCATCACTGGTAAATCTTCTTCTGCACTGCACTGTCTACACTGTCTACACTGACCTTCCTAGGTCACTGAAAGCAGGGATTAGAGACAACAACAACAACAAAATTACATTTGTAAAGTGCCTTTCACGTCGGGAGGACGTCCCAAGGCGCTGGACAGACAGAGTTTCAGACCCAAACTAGGGGTTGGGGTCGGGGAAAGGGGAGGGCAGGGGGGGAAGCAGGGAGATCGAAAGCACGGTCAAAAGGATGGTCTTGAGATGGGTCTTGAAGGAGGCAAGGGAGGGGGCGAGGGGGAGGGACTGCGGGATGGAGCTCCAGAGGGTGGGGATAGAGTGGCAGAAGGCCCGCCCACCAATAGTGGGGCGAGCGAGGTGGGGATCGTGAAGCAGGCGGAGCCCACTGAGTGGAGGGAGCGAGAAGAATGGTAGGGGTTTAGAAGATCGCAGAGATAGGGGGAGCAGGACCATGTAGGGCCAAGGTGAGGATGAGGATTTTGAACTGTATCCTCTGTGTGATGGGAAGCCAGTTGAGTTAGGCGAAGATGGGAGTAATAGGGTCACGGAGCCTGGTGCAGGAGAGGACATGAGCAGCAGAGTTCTGGATGATCTGCAGCCTGTGGAGGAGTTGGGGAGGCCAACAAGCAATGAGATGGCATTGTCGAGCCTCGATGTAATGAAAGCATGTATGAGGGTTTTGGCGGCTTGTGGTCTGAGACAGGTGGCGGAGTCAGGCGATGTTGCGGAGGTGGGGGAAGGCAGAGCGGGTCATGGCACAGATGTGGGGTAGAAAGGATAGTTGAGGGTCAAACAAGACGCCAAGCAAGGTGGAGTGTGCAACCATGGATGGTGATGCTGTCAGTGCCTGAGGTGAGGAGGCTCTGACGGGAGCCAATCAGACAGAGTAAAGCCTCCTCTACACTGTCCATCCACACTCTCACATCATCAACAGGATAGGATATAGATAGATTGAAACTTCCTCTTCATTGTCTGTCCACAGGTTAGAGTCTGGGATAAGGTGCCTGAGTGAGAGAAAACGGGGGTTGGATTTAGTTGACAGTGTGGCATCTCGTGTCTCCTTTCCTGACCCCTCACACTGTTTCTCTCCCCAGCCATGTCTGCTTGTCCAATGCTGAAGATCTTTGCGAGTGGGAGCAAGGATGGAACCATTAAAATCTGGGACCACAAGAACAAGCTATTGAGGTTAGAGAAGAGATATGAGGGACCTGACTGAACCTGTACCTGTATGTGGAGTCCTGTAGCTCAGTGGTTAGAGCATTCCCGGCAGGGCGAAACCTTGGGCAAGTTTCCTTACTCCACACAGAGCCTAATAATAATCCCTCCAAAAATCAAAACAATAATATAATTGGTCATTTTCAATCTACGACTGTTTGTGGGACATTGCTGTGCGCAATTGGCTGCCACGTTCGCCCACAAATATACGGTCAATTCACTTTACAGTGTGTTCTGTGAAGCGCTTTGGGATGTCCTCCCGACTTAAAAAGCGCTATATCAAATGCAAGGATTATTATTATTATTATTTGCCTCGCAAGCGAGAGACCTGGGTTCAATTCCTGGCAGGACAAAACCTTGGGCAAGTTTCCTGATAATAATCCCTCAAAAAAAAAAGTAATAAATTGGTCACTTCAATCCATGACTGTTTGTGGGACACCGCTGAGCACAATTGGCAGCCACATTTCGCCCACAAAAATACAGTCAATTCACTTTACAGTCTATTCTGTGAAGCGTTTGAGGCGTCGAGAAGACGTGAAAAGCGCTATATCAAATGCAAGGATTATTATTATTATTATTATTATTATTACCGAGAGCCAGTCCAAAACACGGCATCACTTAACATCATCAGGACAAAAAGCTCCAGTGGGGGAGCGAAAACCAGCACAGACACCATGGGGAAATAGCAAGGAATGGTCTGTGTTATCAATGTGTCTATCTGTCTGTGTGTGTGTGTGTGCATGTACTGTGTGCATGGTGGCTGTGCGCGTCTGTGTCTCTGTGTGTGTCTGTGAATATATGTGCGTGTGGGTGTGTGTGAGACGTGTATGTGCGTGTTCTAAAAGCGCACAATGTTTTTTTGCGACACAGAACACTGCACCTACAGTCAATTCCCCACTGTCTGGCATTCTACAATGACTGGGGAGACCTCCTGGTGGGGCTGAATCGCAATGTGTATCGCATCAAGCACGAAGATTACATCACAAATGACTACATGCCACAGGTAACAGTGGTGGGAGGAGGCGGGCAACCAGGGAGCTCTCAACCAACAACACCAACTTGCATTTATATAGCGCCCTTCAAGCAGGGCAGTGTCTCGGAAGCGAGACCCGACACTGGCGAAGCTTGACACTGAGCCAAAGGGAGGGAAGAGGTGACTGAGCACAGTCAACAAGGAAGGTCCTTCAGTCATGATCTAAAAGAGGGGAAGGAGGGGGTAAGGCGGAGGGATTGGAGGAGAGAGTTCCGAAGCTTCGGGGTGTAGTGGCTGAAAGGGTGAAGGGGGTTAAGGGCAACCAGGGGCAACAGGCAACTAGGGGGGTAAAGGCAACCGGGGGTGAAGTTCAACAACAACAATAAATTACATGTGTATAGCGCCTTTCATGTCAGGAGGAAGTCCCAAAGCATTTATGGATTTGGACTCGGGCTGGGGGTTAGGATCAGGAGGGATGGAGGGCAGCAAGGGTAGGGGTAGGAGGGTGACCAAAGGCGCGGTCCAAGAGGAGGATCTTGAGACGGGTCTTGAAGGAGGCGAGGGAGGGGGCGAGGCGGAGGAGCCGTGGGCAACCGGGGTCACGTGCTGTTGCTGATGGTGATTTCCCTCCACTCAAAACGCTTGTATGGAGTCCTTGGAGCCACTGGTCGATGATCCCATTCCCATTAACGAATCCGTGTTCGAATCCATGTCGGACGACACTCGCAATCGTCTGATGGGACCAAAGACTGAGTACAGGTGAGGACAGGGCGGTGGAGGAGTCAACTGAGCGGAGGGAGCGGACAGTTCTATATGTGGTTAGCAGATCACAGAGGTCGGGAGGGGCAAGACTGTGGAGGGCTTTGAAAGCGAGGACAAGGATCTTGAACTGTATCCTCTGGTGAATGGGGAGCCAGTGGAGCCGGGCGAGGGTGGGGGTGATGGGGGTCACGGAGCCTGGTGCGGGAGAGGACACGAGCTGCAGAGTTCTGGATGATCTGCAGCTTGTGGAGGGAAGAGTGGAGAAAGCCAACAAAGCAGGGTGTTAGCGTGAGGACATCTGAGGAGGCGCTGTGTCTGAGGGTTTGATGACTTTGCTTTCCCCTGTGATCAGTGTGGAGGAATCCCTGAAGACGGCATTCCAAGATGATCCCATATTGAAAGCTCAGCGGTACAAGTCGCTGGGGTATGTACTGATGACAATAACAATCCTTGCATTTGATAGAGCGCCTTAAAGGGTTATCGAGATGTCTCAATGTACCTCACAGGATATATTCCCATCCCACATTCCCTTCGCTTCGCTCCCTCCCTTGACTCCCTCAGGGCATGTCTCAAGACCTTCCTCTTCGACCGTGCCTTTGACCACCCTCCTACCCCCAACCTCCCTGCCCCTCACTTCCTCCTTGATCCACACTGTCACCTTCCGACCCCCACCCCACCTCCATCCCATTCGGGTCCAAATCCCTGACTGTCCAGCAGTTTTGGGACGTCCAAACTGCTATACAAATGTAATCTTGTATTGTATATTGTAATGTGGATTTACTGAGTATTTTGAGAGCGAAGCACAACAGCCAATTTGTGCACAGGATTGTCCCACACACAGTCATGGAGGTTATTTGGGGGATTGTTGGCCAGGGGTGGGTGGGGGACAGGGACTGGGAGCAGACGGGGAGGGGAGACCGAGAGAGGCGTGGGCAGAAATTGAGAAGGGGGTTAGACAGGCAACGGTGGGAGGAACCCGGGGTAGGGAAGGGGCAGTAATGGTGGACATTTTGGGGGTGGTGGGGGGGTGAGTATCAGAGCTAACATCAGCAGTATGAGTGTGTGTGCCCCTCCCTTCCAGGGGTGTGCCCTGTTGGAGTTGAGAGACCAGGACCTCCGGCTGCTGGAGCAGGGGGAGATTAGGAGCTCCCGCAAGCCAGGAACCGAGGAGACCAAGAACGAGGCCTTCCTGGAGTACATGAAATACCTGCACAATGAGCTGCCCAAGGTCGAGGTGTGTCCGACTGACCCTGTGTGTGCCTCTGCCCCGTGTGAGCGACTGTACTCTGCGCGCCCACTTGTGTGACTGTACCTGTGTGTGTGTGTGTGTGTTTGTGTGTACTTATCATTGTGAGGGTGTGTGTGAGGGTCTGTGTGAGGGCTTGGGTAACAGGGTCTGTGTGAGTGCCTGTGTGAAAGGGTCTGCGTGTGGGTCTGCGTGTGGGTCTGCGTGTGGGTCCGCGTGAGGCTCTGTGTGAGTGACTGTGTGACAGCGTGTGAGAGTGAGATTCTGCGTGAGATTCTGTGAGAGGGTCTGTGTGAGGGTCTGTGCGAGAGACTGTGTGAGGGTCAGCGTGACAGGGTGTCTCTCTCTCTCTCCTGTCGGCAGTTACCGGAAATGGATTTGTTGGGGCCGCAGGGTCCAACCCCGGAGCCCCCACCTATCAAGGAGGCCCCCTACGTGCGGCTAAAGATCCGCAAAGGTTTCTTCCCGAACCTGAGGCTGACCGTGCCCTGGGAAGACATGACAGCCAGAGAGAAAAGGGTGAGCGACCCAGAGACACCTCACTCTCCATCTCTCCACTCTCACGCTGCCCCACTCTGCTCTCCACCGCCTGCCTCTGCTCTCCCACTCCCCCCCACTCTGCTCTCCCACTCCCCCCACTCTGCTCCCCCACTCCCCCCACTCTGCTCTCCCACTCCTCCCCCCAGCTCTGCTCTCCCACTCCCCCCACTCTGCCTGCCCCACCCCTCAGCTCTCCCATTCCCACCCCTCTGCTCTCCCACTCCCCCCCTCCCACTCCCCCCACTCTGCTCTCCCACACCCCCCACTCTGCTCTCCCACACCCCCTCTCAGTTTTCCCATTCCCCACTCTGCTCTCCACACTCCCCCCGCTCTGCTCTCCCACTCCCCCACTCTGCTCCCCCTCTCTGCTCTCCCACTCCCCCCACTCTGCTCTCCCACTCCCCCCACTCTGCTCTCCCACTCCCACCACTCTGCTCTCCCACTCCCACCACTCTGCTCTCCCACTCCCCCTCCACTCTGCTCTCCCACACCCCCTCTCAGTTTTCCCATTCCCCCTCTCTGCTCTCCCACTCCCCCCACTCTGCTCTCCCATTCCCACCCCTCGGCTCTCCCACTCCCACCACTCTGCTCTCCCATTCCCACCCCTCTGCTCTCCCACTCCCACCACTCTGCTCTCCCATTCCCACCCCTCTGCTCTCTCACTCCCACCACTCTGCTCTCCCACTCCCACCACTCTGCTCTCCCACTCCTCCTCTCTGCTCTCCCATTCCCTCTCCCATTCCCACCCCTCTGCTCTCTCACTCCCACCACTCTGCTCTCCCACTCCTCCTCTCTGCTCTCCCATTCCCCCTCTCTGCTCTCACACTACCCCCTCTCTGCTCTCCCACTCCCCCCACTCTGCTCTCCCACTCCTCCCACTCTGCTCTCCCATTCCCACCCCTCTGCTCTCCCATTCCCACCCCTCTGTTTTCCCACTCCCACCACTCTGCTCTCCCACTCCTCCTCTCTGCTTTCCCATTCCCCCTCTCTGCTCTCACACTCCCCCCACTCTGCTCTCACACTCCCTCCACACTCCCCACCCTCTGCTCTCACACTCCCCCCACTCTGCTCTCACACTCCTCCAATCTGCTCTCCCAATCCCCCCACTCTGCTCTCACACTCCCCACACACTCCCCACCCTTTGCTCTCACACTTCCCACCCTCTGCTCTCACACTCCCACCCCTGCTCTCACACTCCCCCACCCCTCTGCTCTCACTCCTCCTCTCCACTGTCACACTCCCCGCCCATCTGCTCTCACACTCCACCTCTCCGCTCTCACACTCCTCCTCTCCACCTTCACACTCACCTACTCTCACACTACCCCACCCCACCTTCACATTCTACCCCTCCTCCCTCAGGCTCCACCCCTCTATCCCCATTCCCCTCTCCCTCCCCCCCACCCCCACCCCTCCACCCCTGCCCTCACACTCCACCTCAGTGCTCACACCCTGTGGCGGGGAATGGGAGAGGGGAGACGAGCAGTGAGCACTAACCCATGTCCGTGGCCATCCTCAGGAGCGGGGTCTTCCCAAGGGAGCCAAGCCTCCCATCGTTCCCATCCTGCTGTGTGGCTTCATCCCCAACTCGGTGCTGGTCCGGCTGTTCTGGCCACTGTTGGAAGAGGAGCCTGTGGATTTGGGGCACTTGATCAAAACACTTCATAAACGCACCCCCCCAGATCAGGCATTATACCAGGTAAGAGCAGCCGTCACCTCCACTCCCGCTTCCCTCCCCCCACTTCCCACCGCTTTTCCCATCTCCCACTAGGCTCAGGCCCTCCCTCCCACCTGCATCAGGGCTCAAGCCTGTGGATTCCCATAGTGTATTGGTTAGAAGCACTCGCCTCACAAGCGAGAGGATCCAGGTTCGATTCCTGCGCAGGGTGAATCCTTAGACAAGTCCCTTACTGCAAACGCCTCTGTTTACCCAGCAGGAAGTAGGAACCTGGCTGTTAAATCGATTGGCGGATGGCTTTTTGGGGGAAATAATCCTGGAAAAAATAATAAGAATTATTATTAGTAGTATTATTGTTAACATGAGGGAAGTGATGGTGAGTAAATCCGTATACGACAATCTGCATTCATATATGCAAGCGTGTTCAGTGTCCCAGGACATCCTCCTGATGTGAAAGGCATTTTATGAATGCACTTTGTTGTTGGTGTTGTAATAACGTCTCCCAATTCACAGGGAGGTGGGGGGGGTGGGAGTTGTGCAAGGAGGGGCCACCGATGGTATCCAAGAATCGGCCACCGATGGTGCGGAGAGGGCACGGGACATGCAGCAAACGGAGGGGGTGTGTGGGGGGGAAAGAGCAGAAGAGTGGAATAGGAGGAGATCAGAGATAAGGAGGTGCCAGGAAGATGGATTTGTAGGTGAGGAATTAGATCTGCTGGGAGATAGTCGAGACTGGAGAGGACTCGGGTAAGGGGCATGCAGAGATTGGTGAGGTTGAGGATGCGGGAGGAGTTTAGGATGAGTGGAGTTGATGCACAGTGGTCAGCAAGGAAGCCCTACAAAGAGAGCTCTCTCTACAATCTGGACTGCACTGCCTGAAAGGGTGGTGGAAGCAAATTCGATAGCAGCTTTCAAAAGGGAATTGGATAGGTACTTGAAAAGGAAAAATTTGCAGGGCTTTTGGGTAAGAGCGGGGGAGAGGGACTACTCAGGTAGCTCTTTCGAACAGCTGGCACAGCTCCTTCTGTGCTGTAACATTCTATGAGTCTATAAGACCAAGAGGGAAGGAACAAAGGCGTGGATAGGGTCTTCGGAGTTATGGGGTGTAGTTGAGGGAGGAGGAGGGTAATGAGAACAGTGTAGAGGGAGCTGTACTCTGTCTCTGACTTGTGCTGTGGCTGAGTGTGGATGGACAATGTGGATGGAGATCGATCATTCTCTTTTTGCTGTTATAGGACCTATTGGAGCTCAACGAGAAGTCCTTCAAGGATATCTTTGAGAAAGCTTTGGCAGATTTGGAATTGCCACAGATCGTGAAGCCCGAAGAGGAAGTTCCTTTACCTCTGCAACCGTCAAAATCCAAGGTACTTTCATCAACCTTCAACCTTCCCTTCCTGAAAGTATCAGTGTAACTCACTCTTAGCATTCTCTTCTCTAAGTCAGAAGGTTGTGGGTTCAAAGCTACCGCTTCACCGCTTCTAGCTCATAGTCTAGGCCAATGGGGGTCCGTTGAGGGCCGGATGCCCCATTTGGGCCACATAAACAATATTCTATCCTGTTTGGACAATCCTGTTACTGGTCAGAGCCTGAGCCCCCGGTGAACGTCTCCTGATTGGCTCGGGGCCTGCATGTCGCATGTATTTGCTCGTTGGACAATGACGTTGGAAATGGTTCAAAGCCCGGATAAAATTATCCCCTGAGCCGGATGCGGCCGGCTGGCCGCCAGTTGGACCACCCTGGTCCAGGCTGTAGTACTGGGGGTGCACTGCATTGTCAGACGTGCAGTCCTTTGGATGAGACGTCAAACTTGGCTGTGCCTGTTTGGGGGATGTTAAAGATCCCGCGGCGCTATTGGAAAAGAGAAGGGAGTTTCCCTCTCCCCGTGTCCTGGCCAACGTTCCCCCCNGGATAAAACCGCTCACTCTCTTCACGGCTGATTGTGAGACGTTGCTGACCCCAAATTTGCTGCCACGGTCGCCTACAAAATACAGTGTCACTACACTTTACAGTAATAATAGTCATCCTTGCATTTGAGACAGCGCCTTATCACATCGTTTTGACGGGGGAAGTAGGGAAAAGCTCTAAGGAACATAGGAACAGGAGTAGGCCATTCAGCCCCTCGAGTCTGTTCCGCCACTCTGTGGCTGATCTGTCCCTCATCTCCATTTACCCACCTTTGCCCCTATCCCTTGATACCCTGACCTAACAAAAATCTATCCACCTCAGTCTTGAAATTTTAAATGGATCCAACATCCACAGTCTTTTGGGGCAGACAGTTCCAGATGTCCACTACCCTTTGTGTGAAAAAGTGCTTCTTGATTTCACTCCTAGGACTTGTGGAGTCCTGTAGCTCAGTGGTTAGAGCACTCGCTTTGCAAGCGAGAGACCTGAGTTCAATTCCAGGCAGAGGGCGAAACCTTGGGCAAGTTTCCTTACTCCACACAGAGCCTAATAATAATCCCTCCAAAACCCAAAACAATAATAAATTGGTCATTTCTATCTACGACTGTTTGTGGGACATTGCTGTGCGCAATTGGCTGCCACGTTCGCCCACAAATATACAGTCAATTCACTTTACAGTGTGTTCTGTGAAGCGCTTTGGGACGTCCTCCCGACTTGAAAAGCGCTATATCAAATGCAAGGATTATTATTATTATTATTATTAAATGGGCCTAGCTCCAGTTCTAAGGTTATACCCCTTTGTTCTGGACTCCCCTACCAAAGGAAATATCTGCTCTATCAAATCGGACAGGGAGAAACGTTAGGCAAGTTTCCTTACTCCACGTGCCTCTGTTTGCCAAGCAGTAAGTAGGAACCCGGTCATCAATTGATTGGCAGATTGCTCTAGTGTTTCGCTGGAGGGCGCTGCTAAGCTGTGTGACATGTGAGTGTTAGCAGTTCCCACAGTAGGCTGTGAATGTTACTGCAGCCCTGGTCAAGTAACCATACCTGTTATAATAACAAGCCTTCATCATCATAATAATCCTTGCAATGCAACGTCTTTCACGTGGGAAGACATCTCAAAGGATTTAATACGATATAATATCCTGTAGCGTACTGGTTAATGCACTCGCCTTGCAAGCAAGAGGACCTGGGTTCAGTTTCGGGGCGGGGCGAAACCTTAGGCAAGTTTCCTTACTCCACGTGCCTCTGTTTACCAAGCAGTAAGTAAGAACCCAGTTGTTAGTTGATTAGCGGATGGCTTTCAGGAGGTAATAATCCTTCTAAAAAAAATTGGGTCATTCAATCCATGACTGTTTGTGTATTATTATAACTCAAAACCCCATCGCCTCGTTCGCTCTGTGACTTTATCTCTAACCCATGTGATCGCTGAGCTGGGAGTTTAGACGGGCAGTGGAGGGGGGGCTGTAAGTACAGATAGGAACAGTGGGTTCACATTGTTGATCGATCACTAGACAGTTTTTCGGAAGCGATGGACTCGAACTGCCCGTCAGTTCCCTAAGCGCCCGTCTGCCATTGGATCTGTGGAGTCGACCCTACCTATGCTCCCGGAATACATCCAACGGTTTAAGGAAGAAGAATGGTTCAAGAAGCTCTTTTCCAACGCAGACACAAGGGTAAGGAGTCAGCGCTCCCCGACAGGGATGCAATTAGCTCTCAGTTGCTTGTGTCAGATGCTCGCACTCCTATCTCTGAGTCAGATTGTTGTGGGTTCGAACTCCACCACCCGCTGCCTCCGCTCGACTACCTCCAGCCACCTGTTCGTCCCTCCACTCCACCATCGTCAGCCATGCTTTCAGTCACTACGCCCCAAAACTCTGGAACTCTCTCCTCCAATCCCTCCTCCTTGACCCCTCCCTCCCTCCCCACTTTCAAATCCTGCCTAAAGACATTTCTGTTTGATCCTGCTTACGATCACCTCCTCCCTCCCTCTCTCCCTGGCTCTGCCGCAGTTAAGCGCTCTGGGACGCTACCTGGTGTGACGGGCGCTATATAAATGCAAGTTGTTGTTGGGACTTGAAGTCATTTTGTCTAAGGTGATGTTTCAGTGCAGTGCTGGAGAGTGCTGGTTTGTTGGAGATGCTCTCCTTTGGACGAGACGTTAAACCGAGGTCCCACCTGCCTGTTCAAGTGGATGTTATAGACACCATAATATAATAATAATAATCCTTGCATTTGATATAGAACCTTAGAGTGTCTTCGAGACGTCTCAAAGTGCTTCACGGAATATACTATAAAGTGAAATGACTGTATATTTGGGAGGCAAGACGCGGCAGCCATTTGCGCTCTAACCACTGAGCTACAGGACTTTTAATAACTAGAAGGGTTCAGATACTATTCAAAAACATAAGGGATTTTCTCTCTGCCGGTGTCCTAGCCAACAACCTCTCAAATAAAGATTGTTCACTCATCCACGACTGTTTGTGGGACGCTGCTGTGCGCAATTGGCTGCCGCGTTTCGCCCACAAAATATACAGACAATTCACTTTACAGTATATTCTGTGAAGTTCTTTGAGACGTCTCAATGTTGTGATAAGGCACTATATCAAAGGCAAGGATAATTATAATTATTATTATTATATCCTGCAAAGCGCTTTGAGACATCTCGAAGACGTGATAATTCGCTATATCAAATGCAATAATGATAAAGATAATTATTATTATTATCTAGAACTTTCTGTGCACGTTGACCCTGGAGGACTTTATTAAGGTCTTGTGTGAGCACCTAAAGAAGGTAGATTTCCGCTACAAGATCGGGATCATGAAGGCTCTGGTGGCGTTGCAAGCCATCGCGGGGCCCGCCAGCGCCCTGGGGCCCCACGACGCCATTTTCTATGTTCTCAATCACAAGACGCCACCAAACGACAAGGTATGTGGGTAGGAGAGGAGCCCAAGCCGACACCACCCGGCCTATCACCCAGTAACCTGTTAGTAACATGTGTCACGTGGGTGCTGGGTGCGTCAGTCACATGTAATAGGCACGTCAGAAACATGTGTCGCACGTGTGTTGGGGGTGTCAGTAACTTGTGGCGTCTGTGCCAGGCATGTCAGCAACATGTGCTCGGTGCCAGGTGCAGTGCTGGCATGTCATTGACGTGTGCCATTTTGTGGGGGCAGTGCTGGAGTGTCAATGACAATTGCGTGTTGCGGGGAGCAGTGACGTGTGCGTGTGGCGCGGTCAGTGCTGGCGTGTCAGTGATGTGCGCGTGTTGCGGGGTCAGTACTGGCGTGTCGGTGATGTTTGCGTGTTGTGGGGGGGGGGTTGCAGGTGCCGGTACAGAAGGACTTTATCGAGGTTGCGCTGTGGGCCCTGAAGAAGATGAACGCTTTCAGCAAAGAGCTGCTGGTGGAGCTGATGGTGCAATTTGTCCAGGCTGACCAGAAAAGCAGGTTAGTCAACCCCCCCCCCGCCCCACATACACGGCCACCACACCATCCCCCCCCCACACACACACACCTCCCCCTCTCCCCCACACACACACCACCCACACCCCCCACACCCCCACGCACACACTGAGTCAGTCAACAGACATCCCTAATCTAAGATATTTGGCAAACAAGGCAAAGGGGAGGTTGGGAGAAATGTTCCACTGACAGACTGGTGAGGATATGGAATGCGCTTCCAGGAGCAGTGTCCAAGTCAGGGTTTCGAAAGGGAACGAGATAAATATGGCAGCCATTTGCGCACAGCAGTGTCCCATAAACAGTCGCAGGTGTTCCTACCAACCGCTAGGTAAACGGAGGCTTGTGGAGTAATGCAACTTGCCTCAGGTTTTGTCCGGTCTGGGAATCAAACCCGGTCCTCTTGCTTGCTTAAAAAGGAGTAAAGTACAAGGGTGTGGGAGGTGGGGAGAGGGCAGGTAAACAGGATTGCTCTGTAAGAGCCAAGAGAGATATGATGGGCAGAATTGCCTCTTTCTGTGTAGAAATACCTCTGGTTCCAGCCAGCTCTCTGTGACGGTCTCTGGTCCGGTTATCGAGCCAGGCATTACTCCAGGGCACTGCCGATGACAGCACAACCAGCCTGGCTCATCGGCAAGACCTGGAAGGGCAGACCAGTCACTAGGAACAAGGAATCCTCCCACTCAGCTCATAATAACTCTGCAAGCCAAAGCCCTAGCAGGTAGGGTGGTCCTACCTGGACAAGCGGCGAGCGGAAAAACTTGCCAGGCAGTGATATCAATGGCAAGCTATGGTTAGACTCCAGTGCACACTCTGGGGTCCTCCCAAGCCTGGGCTGTTGCCAGCCGGAGCCGAATACTTTCCGGTCGCACACACAGCTAATTCTGTGGTTGTAGGAAGAAGATTCAGGGTCACTTTATGGACGTGGGGCTGCAAGATCCTCACAGTTACTTCCTGAAAGAACTGGAGACGTGGAACAAGGCCGTGGTTAACAAGGACCAGCTGGGCAAGAAGTGCTCCTCTTGGCTCCACAAGTGGAATCAGGCCTTCAAGGTACAGGACAGGATGCCTAGTCAGGGAGAGGACTATCCTGGGGTCCGCAGACAGCTCTTGGCCTAACTCAGCCTCTGGCTCAGTGTCACATTCGCACTGCGCACAAACTGATTGGGAGAGGGGAGGGAAGACACGGGGGGAGGGGAAACATGAGCGGAGATGGGAGGGGAGAGATGGGCGGGAGAGATGGAGGGGAATAGGGAGGGGAGACATGGTGGGGAGTGGGAGACGAGCGCGCTGGGGGTACCCTGTGCTGATTGACTCTTCTTGTTACCAGGATCATGCGATAGAGTCTCTGCAAAATGTGATAAATGATCAACTGGTCAGTGAATCGACAACGTCACTCGCAGAGGTCAGGGGGAGGACCAGAGAAGAGGGGCGGGGGGCACCAGATGAATCCCCACTCCCCCAGTCTAACCCCACTCTCCCCTCATTCCCCCAGTCTAACCCCACTCTCCCCTCACTCCCCCCAATCTAACCCCACTTTCCCCTCCCCCCAGTTTAACCCACTCTCCCCAGTCTAACCCCACTCTCCCCTCATTCCCCCAGTCTAACCCCACTCTCCCCTCACTCCCCCAGTCTAACCCCACTCTCACCTCACTCCCCCAGTCTAACCCCACTCTCACCTCACTCCCCCAGTCTAACCCCACTCTCCCCTCACTCCCCCAGTCTAACCCCACTCTCCCCTCATTCCCCCAGTCTAACCCCACTCTCCCCTCACTCCCCCAGTCTAACCCCACTCTCACCTCACTCCCCCAGTCTAACCCCGCTCTCCTCTTAGTCCCCCGCACAATGCATTATTCCTCTTTAACCATCTAATTCTCTCTCTCACACATTTGCTGTTCCCCTCACACTCACTGTCTCTCACTCACGCTCTCTCTCTCTCTCTCTCTCTCTCATGCCCTCTCTCTTTCTCACGCTCTCTCACATTCTTCCCCTCTCTCTCTCTCTCTCTCTCTCCGACTCTCTCACACACACTCTGATGAGCTCTCTCAATCTCTCTCCCCCTCTCTCTCTCTCTCTCTTTCTCAAGCTCTCTTTCTCTCTCACGCTCTCTCTTCAGGACCCGGAAATTGTGCCGCTGAGATCTGGAGCTCAATTACTAAAGGGAATCGCTCTGCTTGACCTCAGGAAGCTCATGTTCCCCGTATCCGCCTCACCACCTCGGGTAACACCACAACCTTCATTGACACAACCTCCTCACCCGACCCCATTCCCCCCTCACACCCGAATCCCCCCCACACCCGACCCCATTCCCCCTGCACTAAACCCCACACCCGACTACCCCTCAGCTGACCCACCCAGCACTCAACTCCCCACACCTGACTCCCTCTGGCATCCAACCACCCCTCACACCCGCCGCCCCCCCCCCCCCACACACCAGCCCTGTATCACCCGCCCCCCTCACACCCGCCCCCTTGCACCCGTCCCCCTCACAGCCGCCCCCCTCAAATCTGACCTCCCCAACCCCCCTCACTCCCCACACCAGAACCCCCACCTTACTCCTCACACCAGACTCTCCCACACACCTGAACCCCCTCAGACCCGATCTCCCTCACCCCCCACAAAACCTGACACCCCCTCACACTCGACCCCCTCACATCCAACACCCCCTCAAACCTGACCACCTCTCAAAACTGAACCCCCCCCCACACAACCAATTGCCCCTCACCCCCCCCCCCCCATTGCATCCAATCCCCACTCGCACCTGACCCCCAGCCCCCCTCAGTTAACACCACAGCTTTCAGTGGTGGTGAAACTGATGTGAATATATTATGATTGCAGCAGCGCAGCAGAGAGAGTTTGGGCCACAGAGGGAGCTATACGTACCTGCAATTCTCACCAAACCAGTCTGAGACCAGAATCCAGGTCACAGAGGTAACCGCGCTCACGTCAACGAAAAGGCTCTTATATAGAAGTCTCACACGTGGAACTTTATCAAATACCTTCTGCAAATGCACGTAAATTACACTCAGTCTCTAATACTCTAATACTGTTGTATGATGATAACGAAAATAATAATCCGTGCATTTACAATAATTATAATAAACCACTGCGACGTCTCAAAGCGCTTCACAGAATACACTGTAAAGTGGATTGACTGTATATTTTGTGGTCTCTAACCACTATGTGATTAATGACAGTCTAACACTTTGCACAAAACTGAGGCCCTCCTGATTGGCTCACGTCAGCGCCTCCGCACCTCAGGCGCTGACAGCATCAGCATCCAAGGCTGCACTCTCCACCTCTCAAAGCCATCAGAAACCTCGGGGTTCTGTTCGACCCTGACCCTGAGCTGTCCTTTCTCCCTCATATCCGCGCCACAACTGGCACCGCCTTCCATCACCTCCGGAATATCGCCAGACTACGGCACTACCTCACCCCTCACCCCTCACTCTGGTCCACGCCTTTATCACCTCAAGGCTGGACTATGGGAACTCTCTCCTCGCCGGCCTTCCCGGCCCTCCCTCCACACTGCAGGTCAATCAGAACTCTGCAGCTCGTGTACTGTCCCGCACCAGACTTCGGGACCACATCACTCTCACTCTCGCTCGCCTCCACTGGCTCCCCATCCCCAGAGGATCGAATTCAAGATCCTCATCCTCACCTACAAGGCCATTCACGGCCTCGCTCCCTCCTACCTCTCTGACCTACTATCCCCCTACCTACCTGCCTGTACCCTCTGTTCCTCTGGCTCCGGTCTGCTCCACATCCCCCGCCCCAACCGCCCTACCATCGGTGGTCGGGCCTTCAGCCTCTCAGCCCCGAGGCTCTGGAACTCTATCCCCCAGTGCCTTCGCCGCTTCCTCCCTTTCCTCCTTCAAGGCCGGTCTCAAGACCTTTCTCTTTGACCGTGCCTTCAGCTCCCCTCTCGACTCTCTACCCCCTCCTCACTCTCTCCCTTCCCTCCCCTCACCCTGACCATTTCCCCCCTGCTTGAGTCCTGACCCAACTGTCCAGCGTCTTGGGATGTCCTCCTGACGTGAAAGGCACTCTGTAAATGGAATAGTGTTGTTGTTGTTGCGTGATAATAATATATAATAATAATCCTTGCATTTGATATAGTGCTTTTCACGTTTTCTTGACATCTCAAAGCGCTTCACAGAATAGACTGTAAAGTGAATTGACTGTATATTTGTGGGCGAAACGCGGCAGCTAATTGCGCACAGCAGTGTCTCACAAACAGTCATGGATTGAAAATGACCTTTTTTTTGTTTTGGAGGGATTATTATTAGGCTCTGTGTGGAGTAAGGAAACTTGCCCAAAGTTTCGCCCTCTGCCTGGGATTGAACCCAGGTGTTCGCTTGCAAGGCGAGTGCTCTAACCATTGAGCTACAGGACTCCACATTGACAGTCTAACACTGTGTGTGATCATTGACAGTATGACACCGTGTGTGATTATTGACAGTATGACACCGTGTGTGATCACTGACAGTCACACTATAACATGTGGTTGTTTGTTTTCGGCCAAGTATTCCAGAGGCCTGAAATTGGAGGCCTCAGTGATCGCCAGATCCATAGACAAGCTTCGCCCCATCGACACTGTGAATTACTTCTGTGACGTACAGCTGGACAAGGATTTGCAGGCCAAGAAGAAAGAGAAGGTGGCCAGCATCCTTGAGGAGGGAACACACAAGAGTGTACTCCTGCCCCGCAAGTTAGAAAGGTTAGTCTGCGTTCTCAACCACTGGCCCCAGCCTCGGCTTAGCCCCCACCAGGATGGTCGAAGAGGAGAGTCTTGAGACGGGATTTAAAGAAGGCAAGAGAGGGGGCACGGTGACTGTGGGATTGAGATCCAAAGGGTGGGGAAAGAAAGGCTGAAGGCCCGACCGATGGTGGTGGCGTGGGCAGGTCAGCGTTTCACCGAGCACCACATTGTGTGTTATACACGTGTGAGTCATGTGTTACACATGTACATTACATGACTCACACATTTGTAACATACACATCACCTTTAAATTTGATATAGGTGTGTCTTATCGCTTCGTCGAGATGTCTCAAAGCGCTTCAAAGAATATACTGTAAAGTGGATTGACTGTGTGTTTTGCGGACAATTTTACTGTGAAGTGCAGTGACTGTATATTTGTAGGCGAAACGTGGCAGCCAATTTGCACACAGTTCACATTCCAGAACCAGTCATGAAGTGAAGGACTAATTTTATTTGGGGGATTGTTGACCAGGGCACCGGGAGAGAAAAACTCCCTTCTCTTTTTGGATAGAGCTTAGCACTTGTACACTTGGGGTAAACGGTTGGAGAGAGAGTGTGTGAGGAGAGGCCTGAGGGCTGAGTGGTTGGGGGGTGTTAGGGCAGGGCAAGGCTCGATACAGGGAGTGGGGATTGGTGTGGATGCATATGTTGACTTTTCCCTTTTCTTGTGTGTAGATTAAACCCGATTGTCAGACTGGGAGAGACCAACACTTTCGTCAGAATGAAATACCCGATTTGTAAGTGGAACAAAGGGACAAGGAGGTCACTCAGCCCCAGCCAGTCTGTTACAGTAACACTTTTGGTCAGCCTCGTGTCTGACACTGGTGGAAACCCATTACCATGCTTAAGAGTAACCAAACCATGCGTGCCATGAAGTAGTACATCTGGATTGCTTTGAAAAAGTGCGACACGAGAAGCTTGTCAATTGAAATTGGGGCATGGGGAAATGTGGGAGAGGTAGCAGGATGGATTAAACAGCGGGTCAAGAAACCCAAAAGCAAAGGGCAGGAGTTAAGGGTATCATCTTCTCAGGCTGGAAAAACGTAGGAAGTGGTGTTCCTCAGGGATCTGTGTTAGGACTGCTACTGTTCACCATAACCTTGAATGATTTAGATTCATCCCATTTAAAATGTCATACATCTCTATAAAGGGCCCTTCTGAGTTGTCTACTCTCCTGATAGAAGAGACACAACTTTTGTCCAATTGCACTCGTTGCTCATTCCTCTAACACTGGGGATCATCCTCATTGCTCTCGCTGCACTGCCTCGAGGGCCTGGACAGCCCCATGTGTCACGGTGACCAAAGCTGTATTCAAGCCTGACCCGAGCACTGTACAGGCTGAGTTATGACATTTGGGGATCTAAACTCAACTGATTTAGCAATAAAGCCCCACATCCTGTTTGCCTTATTTATTGCTGCTTCTCATGGTTTTGACATAGTGAGCAATGAATGAACTAACGCCTCTAGATCTCTCAGCTTCCACCATGGTAAGTTCTGTCCCATGCATGAAGTATCATAGAATATCACAGCACAAACGGAGGTCATTTGGCCCATCGTGCCTGTGCTGGGTCTTTGGAAGAGCTACACAATCAGTGCCTCACTCCCACTCTTTCCCCATACCCCTGAATTTTTTTTCCTTTCCAAGTACCTATCTAATTCGCTTTGAAAGTTGTTATTGAATCTGTTTCCACCACCCTTTCAGCAGTTCATTCCAGACCGTAACAACTCTCTGCAAAAAAAATCTGCTTATCTCCCCTCTGGTTCTTTTGCCGGTTACCTTAACTCTATGTGCCCTAGTTGCTGACCCACTGGCCAGTGGAAACAGTTTCTCCCTATCTACTCTCAAAACCCCTCATAATTTGAATACCTCTGTTAAATCTCCCCTTAACCTTCTCTGCTCTATGGACAACAATTCCAGCTTCCCTAGTTTCTCCACATAACTAAAATCCCTCATTCCCTGGTACCATTCTGGTAAATCTCCTCTGCACCCTCTCAAAGGCCCTGATTTCCTTCCTAAACTGTGCTGCCCAGAATTGGACACAATACTCCAGTTGAGGCCTAACCAATGACTTATAAAGGTTTAGTAGAACTTCCTTGCTTTTGTACTCTATGCCTCTATAAAGCCAAGGATTCCATATGCTCTAGCAACCTGTCCTGCCACCTTGAAAGAGCTGTGTATGTGAACCCCCAGGTCTCTCTGCTCCTGTACCCCCTTTAAAACTGTACCATTTACTGTATATTGCCTCTCCTCATTCTTCTTCCCAAAATGCATCACCTCACACTTCTCTGCATTAAACTTCATCTGCCATGTCTCTGCCCATTTCATCAGTCTGTCTATGTCCTCCTTGCAGTCTGCCACCATCCTCTTCACTGTTTACTATGTTCTCAAGTTTTGTGTCATCAAAACTATATCATAAAGAGCAGTGGACCTAATACCGACCCTTGGGGGACACCACTGTATACTTCCCTCCAGTCTGAAAAACAACCATTCACCATTCTACTCTACTTTCTATCTCCCAGCCAATTTTGTAATGATCCCTCTGCCAGAGATAAGTCATCCACTGTCTAACGTGTCAATTCCTCTCATTACTTCACACAAATCAGCCCGTAGCCTCCTCTGGTGTAAGGTATAGAACCCCATTCTCCCAAGCCTTTTAGCATAGCTCAGCCCTATTAGCTCAGAGATTGGGCATATAGGAACAGGAGGCCATTCAGCCCCTCAAGCCTGTTCCACCATTCTATTAGATTATGGCTGATCTGTACTTCAGCACCTTTGCACTATATCCCTTGATATCCTTATCTAACAAACACCTATCTACCTCAGTCTTGATAATTTGAATGGATCCAGCATCTACAGCCTTTTGGTGGAGAGAGTTCCAGATTTCCACTACCCTCTGCGTGAAAAAGTACTTCCAGAGTTCACTCTGATTACAGAGGCCTTGCTCTAAAATCTAAAATTTTAAGAAGATGGCCCCCATGTTCTGGATTCTCCCACCAGAGAAATAGTTTCTCCTTAGCTCCCCTATCGAATCCCTTTATCATTTTCAATCAGATCACCCCTTAACCTTCTAAAATGCAACCAGCACTTTGCTCTGTATTCCTTAATACCTTGATTAGGATTGTGAAGTTACAGGGGTGGTGGGGAGGTTATGGAATCTGACGCTCACATTGCTCGGAGATGAATTGTTCTCTGTTTCTCCTCAGATTTCTCTTCCCAGGCCATGAGTGAATACACCTACATCTCGGATATTAGGCGTTTCCTCAGGCTGCCGCTGAAGAAGATCCAGATCTACCCGTTCCCATCGGAAGTGGATCAGTACCCTCCCCCTCCTGTCCTCATCACCCTCAGGCATGGCAACCAGAAGTATTTCATGCTGGCACGCTCTTACGTGCGTCCAACCAATTGAGGGAGGGGGGTGGGGGGCTTGGTCAGTGCCTTACCATCGTCTCACTCCATCTCCATCCCATTCTTAGAATGATTTGAGAATACCTGAGGTGCCAGGGTGTTATGCAGACAATCTTCATGAGTAAATGTTATTAAAGGTTTAGTTTTATATCCATCGCAATATGATCGCTCCAGAATCTTAATTGCCTTCCCCCCACCCACCACTGCCTGAAACTGCAATAACAAGGCTCATGGTCAGCCTGGGATATTAGGTCACTGTTTGGAGACAGAAACCTCAGCCAATTGCGCTCACGGTGAGGTCACTGCCCCAGGTGTGCTGTGACATGGGCAGCGACCGGTTGGGTGCCAAGTCTCCATCAATTGGGTTCCTCGTCACAAAGCATCAAAAGCTTCACAGGATTTGGACGAAAACACAGTTTGTACAGAGTCTGGGAGGACCCGGTCAGCAAGGTCCGTGTGTGAGTAGACAGAACAATGGGAGCGCAAATCACTGGCACCGTGCGAGAGGCCAGCGGTCAGCCAGGTCACACGCCACTGAGCGGCTACAATACTGGGAAGAGCTGAGCCGAGTGTGGGAACAGTCAGGGCTCTCTGACAAGCAACCAATCCATGTACATGGCTCGCCACAACACACCTACCATGTGCTCTCAAAGCAGAGGCCAATTGGGCATCAAACTGCTCTCCTCCCCGGACTGAAGCCCACACAGTAACACAGCACAAATGGTGGGGTGGAGGCGGGATTCAGACGTTCTAGTTCAGCACTTGCGGGGAAGAGGGATAGAGGTCTCTGTCTCCCTTTATCCTTTCGACCTTCCACCCTCACTCAGTTGGCTGCCTCATTCCTGGTTACAACCACAAGAAATTACATTTAAAAAGCACTTTTCACTTCAGGAGAACATCCCAAGGTGCTGGACAGTTGGGGATTTGGACAGGAGCTGGGGGTTGGGATCAGGTGAGGTGAAGGGCAGGAAGGGTAGGGGTAAAACAGTGACTGAAGGTGCAGTCGAAGAGGAGGGTCTTGAAACAAGCCTTGAAGGAGGTATGAGAGGGTTCAAGGTGAAGGGAGTTCTAAAGGGTGGTGGCAGAGAGGCTGAAGGTCCAAAACTAGGAATGAGAGGAGGCTGTTTACCCCATCATGTCCTTTCTGCCACACACCCATAGAACCCACACCCTAGCTCTCCCCCAATCTCACCTCACCTCAATCGCACATCACTCCATATTTTTACTCCCCAAGAACCACTCTTGTCTGAAGGCTCGTCGCTGACACCTGGGTTTCTGAGCCCCAGATCCCTGCCTCTCTGTGTGGAGAACTTCACCCTGAGAAGCCACAGATCAACCCTGTAACAATAATAATCCTTGCACTTAATCACATCGTCAAGTTGTCTCAAAGCGCTTCATGTGTCATACTGTAAAATATAGTGACTGTATTTGTGGGCGAATGCAGCAACCAGTTTGCGCACAGCAACATCTCACAAACAGCCATGAAGTGAATAGGATTTTATTTGGGAAAGCTATCAGCCACCACACCAGAAGAAATGTCCTTTTTTAATTTAAATCACTCTTTTTTAAGTAGTGCCATGGCATCTTTAACATCCACTTGAACAAGGTAAGTTAACATAACATGTTAAACCAAGGAGAGATAGGTCCTTGGTTTAAGGTATTATTAATATTATTATTATCTCATCTGAAGGATAGCACTTCTAACAATAGAACCTTCTCCCCTGCATTGGCCCGTAGTGTCAACCTAGACTGTGAGCTCAAAATATGGCGACCCACATCCTTCTGACTCCAAGGCGCGCGTGCTGCTGACAAATTTGCCTCAATATGAGGGTGACACACAAATGCACCAGGGAACGAGTTCCTCATTGCTTATTGTGCAGAGCCTTCACCATTCTCAAATATGTGGTCGGCCTCCCGAACTCCAGAAAGCATATACCTGCTCTTTCCCCATCGTGTCTGTGCTGGTGCTCATTCCCCTCACTGGAGCTCTCTAATCTCTTTCCCTGGGCAATGTCATCCGCAGACACGGGGTAAACCTCCACATGTATGCGGATGACACACAAATCTACTTTCCCTCCTCCAGTACCAACTCCAGGTCCACCGATGTTCTATCAGCTCGTCTGGCGGACATCAGGGCCTGGATGAGTGTAAACTTCCTGCAGCTGAATGTGGACAAGACGGAAGCCATACTCTTTGGCTCCTGTCTGCGTCTTCACTCCTGAGGATATAACTTCAACCTCCGTGGGCTCTCCCTCAGACTCAAGAAATCAGTGAGCAACCTAGGCATCCGGTTCAACCCCCAACTGTCCTTCCTCCCCCACATCCAGTCCCTGACCGGGACTGCTTTTTTCCACCTCCACCACATTGCCCACCTCCGACCATACCTCTCCCCAAAAGCAGCCAAAACCCTTGTGCATGTGTTTGTCACCTCCCGTTTGGATTACTCCCAACGCACTCCTCGCCGATCTCCCCAGCTACACCATTCAAAAGATCCAGCTCGTTCAAAACTCTGCCGCCCACATACTGACCCGGACCAAACTCCATACCCACATCTCACCAGTTCTGGCCCAGGCTCCACTGGCTCCCTATCACCGAACGGATTGACTTCAAGATCTTCACTCTCACATTCAAATCCTTTCGCTCTCTGGTACCTTCTTACCTCTCCAACCTCCTCACTTCCCAATCCACCATCCAGCGCCTCCGCTCGTCCTTCACACCATCTGCCCCACTATCCGAGGTCATGCTTTCAGCCACTATGCCCCAAAACTCTGAAACACTCTCCCTCAATTCTTCCGCCTTGTTCCCTGTCTCCCCTTTTTTAATTCCCACCTGAAGGCCCCTTCTTCGACCGTGCTTACGACCACCCGTCCACCCCCTGGCTCGGAATCATCTCTGTATAACTAATAATAATAAACCTTGCATTTGATATAACGCTTTTCACATCTTCTAGACATCTCAAAGTGCTTTACAGAATAGACTGTAAAGTGAATTGACTGTATATTTGTGGGTGAAATGTATAGGGTTATATAGAGACCTCTTGCCCTTTACAATACATTACAAAATTACATTTGTAAAGCGCCTTTCGCGTTGCAAAGACATCCCAAGGTGCTAAACAGACAGGGAGAAGGACCTGGGCGCACGGCTGAAGAAGAGGATTTTTAGGCAAGCCTTGAAGAGGCAAGAGAGGGAGCAAGAGAAGGGATGTGGGATGGGGTTCCAGAGGGTAGAGGCAGAGAGGCTGAAGGCCCGACCGCCGATGGTGGAGCGGGCCGGCTGGGGTACATGGAGCAGGCCAGAGCCTGCTGAGTGGAGGAAGTGGACAGGTTGATAAGAGGTAAGCAAGTCGGAGAGGTAGGAGAGGCCAAGGCCACGGAGGGCCTTGAAGGTGAGGACAAGAATTTTGAACTCGATCCTTTTTGGGATGGGGAGCCGGGTGAGGGTGGGTATCATGGGGTCACGGAGCCTGGTGGGGGAGAGGACACGAGCTGCAGAGTTCTGGATGATCTGCAGCTTGTGGAGGGAAGAGTTGGGAAGGACAACAAGTAGGCTCCCTTTAAGGGAGGCAAGGGGTCAGAGTGGTGGCTGACACATGCAAAAGCCCATCACTCTGTTTAGGAGTCTCCAAACTGTCTGAGAGTTCCAAGTATGCCATCTACATACAAGAAATTGCCTGTGTCTGGATCGGAATGCGCACTGTGTCTCTGGAGGGACAGTCTCTGCTTACCTAATTCTGGAGAGGATTAGGTGCAGGTCGCTAAAAGCCAAGGCTTCAGGACCCCAAAGCTGTTACCAATGTTGGGGTGACTGCTGGAGTTAAACGAGTTAAAGCTATAGAGGTGCCAGTCTGGCTCATCTCTGAGACAGGAGGTTATGGGATTAACCCTCCCCTAAGAGGGTAGTCACAGGTTTGATCACTCACTAAGTGGGTGGCAGGTACCAGGATCTCCCTAGGTTTTATATACCAAGACATTGAACACAGGAGCAAGAGGGTGATGGTATAATTGTACACAGGGTCAGTCAGGTGACAGCTGGAGTATTGAGTCTAGTTCTGAGCATCCCATTCCACAAAGGTCATCACAGCTACAGAGCAAATGGTGGAGATTCACTGGATCATAGCAGAGGTCTGATTTTTCCGGTGGTTTCAGAACTAATTCCTTCTCCTGTTCTTTCCCCATCATGCCTGTGGTGGTGCTGCTCCCCCACTGGAGCTCTCTACTATAATCCCATTCCCTGCTCTCTCCCCATCATGCTTGTGCTCACTCCCCCCATGCTCCCCACCCCACCACCCCCCACCGCCCACCACTGGAGCTCTCTGCTCTAATCCTATTCCCTGCTCTTTTCCTGTGCTGTTTAATGAGCCACAGTAATAAATTATAAAGTTTAAGTCTTCTAATGTGAGTTCTGAACAACATTTGGAAGGCAGGCAGGGGAAAGGTAGAACGGGTCATGGCACGGAGGAGAAGCCGTTGATGGAAACAAACTGTAGACAATAGGTATGATGGGAAAGGTTGAAAAAAACAGGCAAGGACAAGACGATCAAGTTGGAGCTGAGCAGAGAGGTGGTGGATAAGAATAGAGTGGCCAATAATGTCGAAGGCAACAGCGAGAACGAGAACGAGGACTCAAGAGAGAGCGAAGGTGGGAAGCAACGACTTATTCAAGGACCTTGAAGAGAACGGGTCAGTTAGAAATGGGGCAGTAGTTAGAGAAGAGAGAAGGTTTCCTGAGGGTGGGAGTGATGACTATAGTTTTTAAGGGGACGGGGACAGAGCCAGTCGATAGGGAGGGGTTCACAATATCAATAATAATAATAATAAAACTTGCATTTGATATAGCATCTTATCATGTCTTCGCGACATCTCAAAATGCTTCACAGAAGATACTGTAACAATAATGGATTGAGTAGCTACATTTTTTATTTTTTTGGTAGGGATTATTACCCCCGGAAAGCGATCCGCCAATTGACTAACAACCGGGTTCCTGCTTACAGCTAGGTGAACAGAGGCGTATGGGATAAGGAAACTCGCCTAAAGTTTCACCGTGACTGGGAATTGAACCTGGGTCATCTCAATTGCGAGGCGTGTGGTCTAACCAATATACTACAGCTCTCCACAGTGGGTGGGGGGGGGCGACCAAGGAGGTGGAGGAGAGGGGTAGAAA